TTTTAATACCCAAAAACCCCCTACCCTTTTTTCCCCTTTTTTTTTTTCCCAAGAAAAACTTTTTTTAAAATGGCTAAAACACTTTAAAAAAGGAAAATAAATTTGGTAAAGCCGAAGGGGGGGCCAATTTTGACCCCGGGCTTTTTTTTTTTTAAAAACCAAAACTTTTTGTAAAACACTCACTAGAAAAATGTTTTTCTTTGGCTTTATATTTAACCTTACCCCTTAATTTGATTTTTTTTCAAAGGAATTTTTTTAAATTTTTTGTATAAAAACATAAAAGGGAAAAAGGGAAAATAAACCCCCCCCCCCTGACTGGGCAAAATTTTAAAACCCGGGTTTTTTTAATTTTGAAAAAAAAACTTTGAAAGAAAATAAAATTTAGAAAAATTGTTTCATGTTTTAGTATCTAAACTCTAGCTATTTGGTTTTTTTCAAAAGAAAAATTTTTTTTAATTTTTTTGGCAAATACCCCTATAAGGAAAATAAATGACCCCGGGGCGGGGCCAATTTTGACCTCAGTGCTTTTATTTGAACAAACTTGGTAGACACCCATAAGAAGATGTTTCATGCTAAATATCTTAGCTCTAGCTCGTTGGGTTCTTTAAAAGAAAATCAATGACCCCCTGGGGCGGGGCCAATTTTGACCCCAGGGCTTTTATTTGAACAAACTTGGTAGACATCCATTAGAACATGTTTCATGCCAAATATCTTAGCCTTAGCTCTTTGGGTTTTTTAGAAGAAGATTTTTTAAGTTTTTACTATATGCATATAGGGCCAAATATCTTAGCTCTAGCTCTTTGGGTTTTTTTAGAAGAAGATGTTTAAAGCCATGGCAACCAGAGTTCTGCATGGAATTAAATTCTTTGAACAATTTTTAAAGGTGACCACCAAAGGAACATTCCTGTGAAGTTTGGATGAAATTGGCTCAGTGGGTTTATGAGGAGATGTCATTTAAAGAAAAAGTATATTGGGGACGGACGGATGACGGGACAGGACGCCGGACGAAAAAGCGATCAGCAAAAAGCTCAAACCCTGTCACTTTGTGACAGGTGAGCTAAAAAATAAATTCCTTTTTGATTTTTGTTTTTCAGGTTTTTTTTTAATTTATTCATTTTTACGTTATGGTACGTTTTTTTGGAAAATTAGTTCTTAAATCCAACAAATAAACTGTAATCAACAGGGTGGTGTCCATCAAAACATGGTCCTTTTTGTTAGGTTTTTAATAGTCCACGGTAATGGGTGGTAAGCCCCGTAATCAAAGTTCAATCTTGTTTTTGTTTGAAATTATTTCTTTTTCTGAAATTTAATGGGTAGTCCAAGTTCAGCAGAAACAATTTTCTAAAATTAAAATTACCCCATTAATTTTTTATCCTAAACAAAAAAGCCCACTTGAAAAAATACATCGGGGGTTTGAAAAGTAAGTTCAAAAAAAAAAATTTCAAATAATGCAAGAATTTTGATTCCTTCGTATGCATGGGAAAAACCCCAACAAAAATAGAAAAAAACCAGAGCCCCCTTAAAGGGAAAGACCCAAAACTCAACAAAATTTAAAAAATGTTGGGGGGGTCTTTTTTGGGTTTGGAGGGTTTATTTTGGAAAAGTGCAAATTTTAAGGGTCCACGCCCCCCTTAGCACCGGTTTTAAGGGTAAATGTCCCTTGTGCCTTTTTTTTTTAAAATTTATATTTTATGGAATGTTATTAAGGTAAAAATTACCCAAAATACGCGGAATGTTGAAATACATGTATAACACAGTGCTGCATTGAACTGTTGTAATTTCTAGCAAAAATGATATCACTATCAACAAGCGTAATGAAAGTTCCAGGATTGCATAATGACTGAATCCGGGGATACGGACAATCATGTCTATCATGTGTAAATTTAAATTTCATGGGGGAGGGGCTTTCGTCCGTCCACCTTGTCATTTTTACATGGGTGGGGTGGGGGGGGGGGGGGGGGGGCTTTTGTCCTACACTACTGAATCCGTACAACTATAAGTATTGCCAGTAGAACATGTTATCGTAAGCATGCATTGAGTATTTACATTCAATAATATTTTATTATTTATAATGCTTAAAATAGATAATAGGTTAATTTATCCGGTGATGGGAACGTAAGACATATTGAAATATTTCGTTTTCGTCAAATCGATCCTATACGCTTTTTTGTTTTCCCTTTGTCTGCTTTTCCCTTTAATCATATATTTTCTTTTTGGTGGGTTTTTATTTTCGAAATTAACTATGTTAAAAAGGTTAAAAAATAGCTTAAAAAAATTTAATGGATAAAAAAATTTAAAATTTAAATACCCAAAAATAATTAATGGGAAATGCAAAAAATTTATTAATTTTTTTTAAATGAAAATTAAAATTATGGGTGGGTTTAACAATGACATTTGGGGATGTCCCGTAATGGCCCCGGAACGTGGGGCACCATGGCAATGGGGTGGGGGGGACCCGGGCCAGGGGCTGCCCATACACTCGTTAACCTAAAAAAGCAAATAAAAATCTAGTAGTAAACAAATCTTGCATTAAAAATTAAAGTTTTAAAAATTTTTTTTAATCTTTTAAAATTTTAGTGAACAGTGCCTATAAATAACCCTAAAAAGAGAAATTTCGTTAAAAAAAGAGAAAAGTTGGGCTTTTTCCAGAAAAACATGAAGAACTCTCTATATATATACTAACTAACTATACACATGTATATATCTATATACTATCAGAATTTTCTACATATAGTGCAATACTAGAGTATAACGTTGCAGTAACATGTATTCACAACTAAACACTTATTATTCCAAATAATTTGTGTTTTTGTAATGTGTATTTATAGGTCTAGGCAGAGTCGACAATGTTATACATTCGATAGATAACATCACGCACACAATACGTATTTGGTACATTATATATATTGTATACGTTTAACTTTTGAATTCATACGGACACAAAAACGAATAAGGTAAAGATACAAGAAAATGTGACTAGCGAGGTTACAATCGAAGCATACTGATGACATCGCGCCAAATTCAATTGAGCCGCGTCACGACAAAACCAACATAATGGGTTTGCGACCAGCATGGATCCAGACCAGCCTGCGCATCCGCGCAGTCTGATCAGGATCCATGCTGTTCGCTATCAGTTTCTCTACTTGTTGTTAAGCGAAAAGCATGGATCTAGATAAGGCTGCACGGATGCGTAGACTGGTCTGGATCCATGCTGGTCGCAAACGCACTATGCTGGTTTTGTCGTGACACATCTCAATTGTTTTCGTCTTGTCGCGCTCCGTGTTTCGCAAGCAAAATGACAAAAACAAGACTTTAAGTGAATATGGTTGGTCGTCTATTTGCTTTAATTTTTTTTTGTTAGCGACAAGACACTATGCATCAAGACGAAGTAGAATATATTGCTAGCGACAAGGCACCGTGCATTGAGACGAAGTTAAGTGGTGAATTTGGTTTATTATTATCGGAAACGTTTTAAAACAAATCAATTCATTTTATTCACATAGCCCAGACCATATTTTTGTCATTCTTACACATCATCGTCTAACTTATTGGAGGCCTTTAAACGTTTCCGTAAGTATTCTCTTTTGTCAACATATATTAATGATACTTACAATGACAGTGTCCATGTTCGTTACAGACTGCAGTACCCTTATCACAAGTACAGTCAGTGGCTACTGTTGCTGCCGTGCAGGCGGCTACGGGAAGAAAAAGATTGAGCTCAGATTACCAAATTTTAATTAATTTCGTTTTGTACATACATTTTGTGGTAGCAAGCAGTTTTTATCGATATAAGATATTATTTTTGTTACTATTCTTAAGTATACATTATACAAGAAAACCCATTATCTTCTGATAGACGAAGGCCAACATAAAACAAGGTAAGGGAAATGAGGGGAATTGAAACAAATGAAATAAATAATAAAAAGTGTTACTTACTGGCACGTTTGCCTACATGGTCCCCACATTCGCAATGGCCTTGGGAATTGCAAATTCCGTTTTGACCAACTGGACAGCTGTTTTGACAGTCGTGGGGATGGCAACCTAGACATTTCGAAGTTATATTTATATATACTAATGTTGAACATACATAAATTGTTTAAGAAATTAAAATTTTACCGATCTACATCACGCGCCAAACAGCATTCTTGATATTAAGTATCATTTTAAACATATATTGTAAATTTGTTTCACCGAGAAAACATTAACCTCGCTTGCATTCGGTAATTCATTTTCACGGTTCTATTTGTAAACGATACTTTAATAGATTTAAAACATTTAAAACAAAAATAGTGCGTGCTTTTTGTCAATGAAACGAATGGTGTATAAAAATGTATTTCACCGGTGAGAAAATGATAAACCTTGACAGATATTCGGTTTCGTAAGTCATTCCTTTTCAAAGTGCTCTAAATATTTTGAATTTCTGAAAGTTAGCAAGATTTAAAACACGAAAAGAACAGTCCTTGGGGTTGCAATGTGCTACACATAAAATAACAATTTAAGTTACAGTAAACTTTAAATAGAGAACAATTGCTGTTTCATAGGATGACCGGAAGCTCCGAACTTATCCACATACCCATCTCCGAAAACGTAGAAAATTTTTTGCACTTTCGAGGCTTTGTCATAGGTGTCAAAACATTCTAAATTTATTTTCCAATTGCAACACTTTGTTTATACTTATTTAAAATCGACAAGTATGTATTTTTTATAAATGAATTTAAAGTAATTTGTATATATCTTTAAATTATACTTAAAATCGATGACGTACATAACGAATTAAGGATGAGTTATTTAGTTGTTTTCAAAACTAAAATAAATGCTATAAACATATTGAAAACATTTATGTAATATTCTTCAATATATAGAGGTAATTTAGTGAAATGCTCGATGAATTTGACATTTTGAATGATTCAAAATGTAGCAAACGTATGAAAATGTCTTTTGTAATTTTAATGGTATGGAATGCACTTTCGTAAATCAAAATAAGACGAAGTCTTACATACCAGCACGTTTTCCATGGCTTCCACACTCACAATGACCTTGCGAATTGCATACTCCATTTTGACCTTCTGGGCAAACACAGTCGTGGGGATTGCAATGTGCACGCTTCACTGTTGATAATATGTGTTAAATTAATAGCATCTGATACAATAAGCTTGGCTAGCTCAATGGGTATCGGTCAACCATGGTTCGATTCCCGGACGGTGAAGGTAACTTTCGCTGTGATTGATCATGAAATGCTCAATACGGTCATTCCCACTGTACCTCTGCTCTGGCATGTACAGAAGTTGTCAGTTCCTTGCGAAGTGAAGGCACTAGCACCACCGTGTATATCCAGTAACGCAGAATTGTGCAAATAACGCAGGAATTGTGCAAAAGAAACGCAGAATTGTGAAATTTAGTGGCTAAAACGAGCACTGCGATATGTAAATGGACTACTAGTAGTTGTATTGTACACCATAATGAAAGAAATGAATAAGCACATACGGATGCTGAGACCTTATACTTTAAACCTCATCAAAAATATTTCAATGAAAATTATTATTTTTCAAGATTATTCGTGAAAATGACGACCTGACTAGCGTACTGATGGCGATTTTTTTTCCTTGATAATTTTAACTACAATAACGTACATATTACTTTATAATTTTGTATATTCGATGTAACTTAGACATTTTCCAATCTACTCGTGTCATACAAGTATTACACTTAATTTAGCAGATAAAACGTAACTGAGACCTTTTTACGAGGTAACGCCGAATACGTAAATGAAGCACTGAAGCAACGGCGGTTATCTCATTAAAAGTAGCTATTTCTTATTTTACCAGCTTCCTTGTATTGTTACACGACACCTATAGTTTGACAAATGTCTAAGGTATATGGAATATGAAGTGCAAACATGTTTTAAAAGTGTTAAATGTACATATTTATTTGACGAAACACAAAAGTCACCTTCAAAACGGCGATCAGGTTGTCTTTCTCACTAATGATCTAAAGAAGTAAACATATTACTGAAAAATAGTGTAATGCTGGTTAAAGAATAATGTCGGAGCAGCCGTATGCGCTTATTCATTTCTTAAAATTTTATTCATAATAAAATATTTTGGTTCGTTTACTTATACTGTGTTCTTCATTTTGGCAATAGCGTTGGTGTTAATTTTACGTTATTTGCATATTCCTGCGTTACTGGATATCCACGGTGAGTACTATCAAAACATATTGACAGTTTGCCTGGCTGAACAGTGGTCTAATGAATTCAAAGTGGTTTACTGTCGTAATGAAGAGTTAAAACAACCAACATCACCAACAACAATAAATTTATGATAGAATGTGCTCTATTTTAGAGGATTAACGAAGGGTGACCACCAGTCCACACAATTCTTCTTCAAATATTTACGGGTTTTAAGTTTGTTTTACATAACAAGAACATGTTAAACGTTCATTCTTATAAAGTTTTTTTGATACTTTTATACTCATGCAATATGTAAATTGATAAAATCATCAGCCTTTTCTCGTCAGCCCATATACATTTTAAAAAAAACAGTCTTTATGCACAAGTCGGTTTCTCGGGATCTCTTATAAAATAAAAGGTTTTGACAGGTTTCGTGACCCTATATTTAAACGGTTGATAAAATCGGAGCCGCTGGAGACCTGATTAAGAATTTTTTCTATTAACTCCAGCGTTTGTCAATTAAGAATAAATAACATAGCGGGTGTGTATATATATTATTAGTTATAAATGAACCGCGTCATGACAAAACCAAAATAAAATGGTTTGCGACCAGCATGGATCCACGCAGCCTGATCAGGATCCATGCTGTTCGCTATCAGTTTCTCTACTTGTAAAAGAGTTGATAAGCAAACAGCATGGATCCTGATCAGACTGCGCGGAAGTGCAGGCTTGTCTGGATCCATGCTGGTCGCAAACCCACTATGTTGGTTTTGGCAAGACGCGGCTCAAATATTGTTGACAGGTTATATGGTCCTATATAAACGGTTGTTTCAAAATATAACCCGAGCCGTTTATATTCGACAATATAACCTGTCAGAAATATCTATAACGAATATAATTATGATACAGCAAGCATCTTTTTTGGAGAGGAAAAAGTGAGATTTCTTCAAAAATTGACAACAGTCGGGTATATAAAACTATGTATACGTCACGATTATCCAATGAAAAATGACGTTACAAACGTGCAGTATTGTGAAATACAATATAATTATGTAAGTTCATGTCGCATTACGTAATTTCATTTACTACATACTAACAGTTGTCTGATATAAGAAAAACGCTTACCAATGGGTGTAGCTTGGCATTCACATTTGTGGTTAAGGCAAACTCGGCTTTCAGTAGCATCCGCACATGGGTCGGTGCAATCACTGTTTTGGTGACATTCAACATCAGGGTGATGGTTTGGTGGATGGGGATCACCACCAGGGTGATGATTTACGGCTGCGGCAAAAGCTGTTTTAAAAAAATCAGTAGAGTAGAATTTCAAGTTCAAGGTCTGAATAGTTTTAATTAAGGTTCATTAGGTCCCATTAATTCTATTATTCTATTTCTCAAAATCTTTAAACTTATTTGTGCATTCTGTTACTAACGTCAAATTATTCCAAATTGAAGAACTAAACACTACTAAAAACAGTCGTTACCTCATAAAAAAGTGCATGAATTACATTTTAAGATAAAGATGCATGTGCTTATTTAAGTATAATTTAAACCTAGTAATTCGGCAAATGTCTCAGGTAAAAAGAATATCCAATCCATTAAATGACAAAATATACAGAATGTAATTGTCTTTTCTTTTGAAGGAAAGCACAGGCATTCCCTGTGCTTGATAGGTCTTTAAGAAAGGAAAACAAATAACCAGTATAACCTTTTTCAATGAAATTATGATTACTTTTCTTTATCAACCATTGTATTTTTTTATTTTTTTTTTCCGTTTTAAGTACCAATTTGATCTATGTAAGAATTTTTTTAAAGCATTGCGTTTTTTAATGCTTTTTTTACCTCATTGGGGCTATTTTTATTCTTATTTTCGCGTGAATATCTGATATACGGTAATATGTAAGATTTAAAACAATTAAAGTAGTGTTAACAAGGATACTTGCGAGCATACACTTTTATTGTGTAAAGTATATCTATAAATTGTTGTTGCTGTTTGCTAAAAAAGCAGAAATATGGATGGAATAAAGCCAGTTTCCCCACTTGTTGACTTATTGTTAGTGCTTTATTTTTGCCTAACTAGAATATTGGCCGCGTTATGCCATGAAAAGACCTTTCTTACTTTTGTGAAAGGTACTTTTAACCAAAAATCTTTGCCGTCCAAAACGTTAACTTAGCCCAGAGTGTCGGGACATAAGGAGAGAAAAAAACCTATAAAATTTCGATACGATATCACTACTACTATTCTTACTAAAATATCATCAACAAACATATAAAATGAATCGTGACATAATTCCAGATATATTTCTTTTTTGTCAGCATTATCTTGATATTGTTTTGTCTTTTCACATCGATATTAAAACAAAAATTTCAAATCCAATTTCAATATCCTTCATATATTCTGTTATTTGTTTATGACGCAGCATACATGTTACCTGACTGGTAAGTTCCGGAAGAGTTTGGCAGATAGCCCGTAAATTTACCGGAAGTCATTGTGGAAAAAACAGTCTACGGTCGAAAAGTGTTTTAAATTACTTACCCACCATACAAACTGCGATCAAAAGTTGCATATTTGTTGTCAAACTTGTGATACAAAACCGACAATGAGAACCCTAACTAGAAATCTGCCTTTATAAGGTCACTGGCAGATGGGAAGTCACATCTGTCTAAATTTCTTTATCTATGTAAGGCAGATTTACGAAGCTGTGAGTGAAAATCGTGATTGACTTGTAATCATGATATGAAGTCTGATCTCAATGTGATCTTAAGAAATGTAGTTCACGGCACGATTTGACATAAAATGCTGTGTAAAATAAATGAAACAGTAAGACGTTTCAATTAGAATAAACAAGTTGTCGTGACTAAAGAGTTTCGTTATTGAGAAAAGTTGAGATCCTTCAAGAGCACTAAGAACACTAGAACAAAAGAAAAAAAGAATTAAAATGACCAGCTCTGTTTGAGAGATAATGTGGATCGAATGCAACATCCCGTATTAATCCATGGCCTCATTTTGGAAATAATTATGTTTCCGGTCATTAGCCCGAATAATCATCACTTCTGAAAATACATTTTATTAAGTAAATTGTATAGTACGTGAGCATTGACGAAGCAGAATGTCATTTCTTTAAGCGAAGCAAAAGGAAACTGGCAGAAACAAGGGTTAGACTGTTCTATCAAAAACGTAGAAACCTGAGTTTTTGACGAAGGTGGAGTTTAGTATTTTTGTACTGCCGGCTAACAGGGCTGTCTTATGATCAATGCAAAACCTAACTTATGCTAGACGTGAGAGTCTGATATCACGACTGGTTATACTATTACAGTAAAACACGTATATTAAGACCACCAACGGAAATGAACTAAAGTGGTGTAATCGTTAACTTTAATTGCGGGGTTTTCTCATTAGCAGATATCTTGATCATGTCATATATATTTCATGACCATATTTTGGTCATTTTGAAGAACAAGTTCATTTTTATAACTTTTAAATGCTACTATAAAAAGGTGTTATAATAAAAAGCTGTTATAATATTTAAACTGATGAAAGCAGGAAATAATTCTGAAGAAATTTAAATATTAAATTCTCGTTGGTCTGCTTTCAATATTAAATCACGTATATAATTTACCTATCAATTAGAAAAGTAAATGCTTCGAAAAATAATTTCAGAAACAATATTAAATCCCACTGAAATTTATTTTCTCACCGTAATTTATGCATTTGTAAGTTTATTGGCAAATCAAGAACAAAATTACCTTAATTTACATACATTATAATTATGGCAAAACATTTAACATCAATATCAATTGTATATAAGTAGGCAAAGCTTATGAACGGTGAAGTCGGTTAAAAAGAAGTTTTCCGTTTGAGATGTGTCATTCGGTACTCACCGATTATCATTAATCCGAAAAGTTGTGGTTGTTCCAGTCAATCGCAACTACTCGGCCCTTTCCGCCAGTCTTCGGATAAGGATTATCATAGATAATAGCCGAGGCCGTTCCGAATGTGTTCCAGTATCGGAATACCACGCCTATTATCAGTGAGTTACCCCCCCCCCCCCCCCCCGCTAACTATAACTAACACTGAAAATTTCATTTGGAAAACTTGTTCCGGTTAGGTGGTTTTCTGCTTACAATTGTTAGTGCATGATTGAACGGGAAATCAGCTGCAATCGTGCCAATCGCAACTTTGCGGCCTTTCCGTCACTGTTCGGATTAATGATTATAGCCGATGTAGTTCCGATTGCAATCGTGACAATTCGGGTGATTCCGTCACACTGCGGAATCAGACGAAGTATTATTACAGTTTGTTTATATAAATGGGATTCGTATTTTTACTTGACTTATTGATTTAAACCGTAATAAATTATAAACGAAATTGTTCCGTTTCAATTCTTTTTCAAGACGCAAAAGTTAGTTTCTTTTATAATTGTTTTTTGTCTGTATTAGTTTTATACAATAGAGGATGTTGACTGTAGTAGTATTCCGTCTTCAAAGGGTGGTCCAAATCACACAGAATATTAGTGCATGATCGAGTTATATTTAGATCTACTGAACTTGGTGAGGTAATCTAAAAATAGCCCATGCATATCATTATTAGTTTTATACAATAGAGAATTAATAGATTTCAAATCGTTTTGACAAAAATATTCGTTTTTACAAAAATAAAAACAACTAAAAATGTTGGGATGAAATCACAACTGTGCAAGCCTTTCCTTTTAAAAGGAAACTTTACTTTTTTATTTAATTTCCTTTCAATTAAGTATACACGTATAGTCTAAAGCTGCAAGCAAAAGTCCGGGCCCGTTTCGCCTTTGATTTCCCCTAATACTTTTAAAACGTATACATTACATGTATACAGTATTCAAATCATAACAGTTAAAAATCTTGAGCATCAAGTTTCATGCCTAAAACTATTCAAGAGGCTAATAATAGCAAACTTGTGCTCTAAGTAGGGGTTGACTGGATTACCAGTGGGGTCAAATAAAGAATAAAACAATGAATTGGAACTGAAATTGTTATGTATGAAAACGTGTGGTTTATTATGTTGACATCCACAATAGCAGACGGAGTTTTGATGTTTATCTCCCCCCCCAAAAGTTAACCTCTTGAATTAATATAATAACTATCACTTTAAGAGAAGTTTTCAAGGTGTCCATAATAGGATGTTTTAATATTATAATCTTATAAATATGATCAGAATGTTTATTTATGAAACTGTTTTAATATCCTAACATTTATGCAGTGGATCACTTGTTGTCCTACGCAGATTTCGGATGAATGGGGGGGGGGGAATCCGTTGCTATGGAAAACCGTACAGTAGTTAGGTCTATGTTTGCTTCTAAATAGTTTAATTAAGTTTAGATGGCCAAAATGCACCTTACATGATTTACATGACAATGCGTGATTTGACTTTATAGAATACAGGGTCTTTTCAAATATTTGAAAGACCCTTCTGTAATTAATGGCATTAATTTTGGAAATATGTAAATTAGTGTAGCTACCCAATAGCCATGGTCTACACTTCTAAGAAAGTGAGAATTTTTTAATTATCTACCTAATTTCTAATACTCCTGAAAATCTTTATTGTACTTATTGTACACAAAAAAATGTACGTAAAGACAATGAAGAGCAAAAACAACATTTCTCGGTGTGTATGTCCCCAAACCCCTCAAAATGTTGCAAACTCTGTTTCATTGACCCCGTTCGTAGGCTGTGGTGGTAAATGCAAGCTATCATGCACGCCCCTTAGTCCAAGCCTAAGCAGAATTAAACATTTTAGTAATTAATTTTAATTTATGGTGAAATATTGAATTTATAAATATCCGCAGAATTGTTCATAATGCAGTGATCATGAAACCGTCAATGTGACACACTCGTGTACATGAAAAGTCACGAAATAAAACAATGCTAGTGATCTACCATAACAGAAAAAACAATGGGCTAAACTAAATAAAGTGGAATTTGGAAAGAAGATCAGATGTTACGAATCCGGACAAGAGGTCGGTCTTAAACATATTTAGGCCAATCTGATATAATCTAAAACGCAGGTGCACGTATCAAAATAACTTTTAACATAATCTAAGGTATTCAATTCTAAATGTCCTTTTACTAAACAATGTCAAAATTTATATAATTGTCCTATGCATATGTTTGCTTTTGCTCTTCTTAGTTTGAATCGTAGTCTTTTTCACTTTTTCATCTTAATTCTTTCAAATATATATCTAGATAAAATATTTTATTATATACTTATAAATAAAATATTGAAAATATTGATGAAATAAAATGCATATATTTATTTTCCGTACTTTCATTGTAAAAATTTATTTTTCACTGCAGTGAAACATATTTTCGTATTTTCACTGGTGTCTTGCCGGGCTTTTTTCTTCTTAATTTAGTCATTACACAAAACTGAAGGGAATTCTTCACTATTCATAAGGTATAAAAGAGAAAAGTATATAATAAACAGAAAATTCAAGTTATTTTCTATAAAAAAATTATTTCATCTTGTGGTATGAAAATTATCAGATTTCACTCGTGGCTACTGCCACTTGTGAAATATTTATTTTTATACCACTCGATGAAAAGAAATCCTATATTTATAGAAATACTTGAATATCCTCCATTGGAGTACAGTACACTGTTTTTTGGTGTTTAAAATAAACATCATATTCTTCACGTACTTGTTTTGCAAAACTTGCCAGCTATGGGTGAGTACTATTCGCCGATCTCTTCTCGGTAATTCACTGTCTCTCCCGGTTTATTTTGAACGGGAATTACTACAGACCGACAAATAAATATTGTTCCTTGTTCTTTTTTTGTAATAAAAGGAAGTATTGATGTTGGTTTAAATAATGTCATTGTACCGCCTACATTTAAGCTTCATTTTCATCGGTTATTTATGGGGTAAAATATACTTGCTTGTATTTAGAAAGATTTGGGTTAAATAAATGCGCATGCGGTCAAACCAACAAAAACACACTTCGGCAAAAAATTTGGCCTTTTTTGGGCAATAATCAAGAAAATATCTAAAACATGGAGAGTCCGCCGTCTATAGAGACGGTAAACCAAGCTCTCCAAGCTTTGTACAACAACCAGATGTTGTCGGAAAGAAAAGGCATCTGTGTGGTTGGGAGAACTGCAGAGATCGTAATCTTGTTTTTTAAAAGTATGGTGGGTGGGGTAAACCGCTAAATTATTTGCAAAGGACAGTGAGCCCAGTTATGAATCCATCTTTTATAAGAAAATAATACTAAAAATTATCCCTGTTTAGACGTCGGAGTCCAATATTCAATTATTTATAATATGAAAAAGGCAAAGCCTCAAAGTAAAAAGTTGTTATTTACTTTGGTATAAATTGAACAGAGGTGTGAAGGTGTGAAAGGCAACAAAAAAACTGTTGTGTTTTAAATGAAAGATGTTTGCATTGTATTCATACAGTTGACTGGTTACTAAACAATTAGATATGACATGAATATATGTTGTAAATATTGTTTGTAAAAAGTATGTTAAAACTATAAAGTTGTAAATATGTTATGTTAACTTTAAAGTACATTATGATTTTATTTCTTTGCTGAATAATACTTGCAATTATTTGTTTGACACTGTATTTATTCAAACTTTGATGAATATATAAAAGTAATGGTACTGATACTTAATTACTGCACCAAAAAAAGTACTGGTACTGCAGTACCGAGCTAAAATCTAGTACTGGTACTGGTAATGGTACTGCAAAACTTGCCAAGTACTGGTACTGGTACTTAATTACTACACCCTTAGTACTGATGCAGCTATGGGTGAGTACTATTCGCCGATCTCTTCTCGGTAATTCACTGTCTCTCCCGGTTTATTTTGAACGGGAATTACTACAGACCGACAAATAAATATTGTTCCTTGTTCTTTTTTTGTAATAAAAGGAAGTATTGATGTTGGTTTAAATAATGTCATTGTACCGCCTACATTTAAGCTTCATTTTCATCGGTTATTTATGGGGTAAAATATACTTGCTTGTATTTAGAAAGATTTGGGTTAAATAAATGCGCATGCGGTCAAACCAACAAAACACACTTCCGGCAAAAAATTTGGCCTTTTTGGGCAATAATCAAGAAAATATCTAAAACATGGAGAGTCCGCCGTCTATAGAGACGGTAAACCAAGCTCTCCAAGCTTTGTACAACAACCCAGATGTTGTCGGAAAAGAAAAGGCATCTGTGTGGTTGGGAGAACTGCAGAGATCGGTAATCTTGTTTTTAAAAGTATGGTGGGTGGGGTAAACCGCTAAATTATTTGCAAAGTACAGTGAGCCCAGTTATGAATCCATCTTTTGTAAGAAAATAATACTAAAAATTATCCCTGTTTAGACGTCGGAGTCCAATATTCAATTATTTATAATATGAAAAAGGCAAAGCCTCAAAGCGAGCTCTAATGTACTTTTAACATGAAATAGTATGAAATAATTGCTCATTTTTATTTCAAATGCAGTGATGAGTGCGTGTGACGTTACACGTAGATCTACTGTGTTAAATATGGCTCCGCCCCTGTCGTAAAATGAATAACAAGTTTTGAAAACGTTGATAAAACTTTGTTTATTTTATTTCACTCTACAGTATAATTTTTCAAGCGAAATAAAGATTATTAAAAGTGAAATAAATGTTAAACTTAAAACGTTAACGACATTAAAATAGCGTACTTGATTTGTTTGTTTTGCACGTGCTGTTTGGCGCTACATTATTACGTCACGTAAACAATACTTTAAACATCTGTACAGCGTTAAGGACTGAATAAAAGATATTGGTGTGCGGATTCATTTTCTTAGTTAGACCATTTTCTTTCATTCTAGATAGGTTTCACAACAAAATTCGACAAAAAGTTGTTTTAATTTATCAGATTTTTCAAACAAAATGGCGCCTTCAATTTTCATTTTACATTTCCGTTCGATATTTTATCGACAGCTTCCGTTATTCTGGTTTCCTGTCCAATTATGGTTCCCATAGACGTGCGCGGGTGACCAGTCTACACATCCGTTTTCAGTCAGAATTCCTCAGTTTTTATCGTTATCTTTAAATTCGAAAGGTTGCGATGTGTCCAATTCGGTACTTCGAACGAAAGTTTTCAAAACCATCACTTAGCAGGTACTCGCGTTACCATAAAGCTTGCTTTGCAAGCAGGCCCTTTGGGCCAGCTTGTCGAGCTCGCTATTAAAGTCCTGAAATCGAAACAATTTGTCCCGAGGGGGTTATAGATACTGAAGTATGTTCACCAACGCTGAATTCGATAAAAAACTACCTCGATAAGGTTACGAAAAACAAGTTATATACTGTTATACCGGATAATAATCACTGGGTGTCAGTCCTCGAGGGGGTTGTAAGAGATTTCTGATCTCGCAACTCTACGCTGGATAAAGTAAAGTATAAGATATTTCTGATCTAGCGACCCTACGCTGGATAAAGTAAAGTAAAGTATGTCCATTTGTATTTGATAATTATGCCTTATTCCCATCGATTCGTGCGGCACCTTCCTATCGATTAGGGACATTAATAATTGTCTGGTATTAATATTTCTGCAAGGACATACACCATCCGAAAACTACACAAGGTTTATTAAACACTTGATTTGACAATCCTATTCAATCAAAATGAGTAATTGAATAGGTGTAAATGTGCTTACCCTACAATCAGCTGATGACCTAATTACTTTAAAATATTTGATATTGATGTTATAATTTATCAAACACAGTTACAATTAAGCCAAAAAAATATTCATTATGATGTTAGAATTTACTTGAGACTCTGAAACTTATATTGATCAGATTGGACTGAAAATAACAATGCGAACATGTAGTGGTGTGAGCACCTATATTTTGATGATGTCACAAGGTGAATCAGATTTGATTATAGGCCTACAAGCTGATCCAGGATTATGCAAATCATGGCCAGTGACACGGATCGTTTCATGCATTTCTTACTTATCAACTCGCTCCCAAGAGGACTTACACCTTAGCCATTTTTTTCCTTTTGTAAGTTGAACCAAATAATGGATCCATTCACAATCAAAGAACAAGAACGGTCTTTCACAATTTTCAGAATGCGTCCAATGAGCCCTTTCATATTTTATAATATGATTCATAATTCTCATAATTCTGGGCAAATTCGCCATCTACATCAATCAGCCTGATAATTTTTGTCTTCTGCATAACACATTTTAGTCATTAACAAGGCTTATCATAAAATGTCATAAAAAATCATATTTCCAAAAAAGAAATAAAAATTTTTCTTTTAAACTTTGTTTAGTGAGAATAATATTTGACATAAACAGAAAGAAAAATAGTTTGCTACTGTCACTATTATGAGAATTATTTCCCCTTTTTCATGTCTTTTAAGCACATAACTTTTGAAGTCCTTAAGAAGTATGTTACATTTATGCAAAGTGTAAAACAAAATAGGTTAAATAACTATTTTATGCTTTAATTAATTGCGCCAAGACCTGTCGGCATACATTTCATTCACTTTTCAGAAAAAACTTCAAAGTATAATGTTCAGTTTCTAAGAATTATCAATATATAAATGCCAGAAACAGAATGTTTAATCCAAATTTATAGAACAAAGGTACTGGCGCAATAATCTAGAGCAAAATGAAGTTGTTGGATACATTTCTATTTAGAATTTTACATTACGATATAATTTTTATGGACTTTAAATATTTTGTCTCTTAAAAATGGGAAAAAGTTAAAATTCTAAGAAAATAAAAGATAATCAAAATATTTTTATTTTGATTTTTATCATATATCAATGCTTAGTAAACAAATCAAGTGAGAAAGAAACATATCAATTATTTTTCTAGAAATAGGATATTTTATGTCTTGAGCCTGTTAACCCATTAAGCGATATACACGCCTATAACGCCTTTTTCACTCCACCCCAACCCCCTTTATTGTTGTCTCAAATGGTGAAAAAGTGCCTAATTTAGGGCCCCAACACTTGTTTTTGTTTGAGAAACGTTGTTAAAAAAAGTGACCCCTTTTCCAACGCCCCCCCCCCCACCAATGACCGAAAGATACATCAGGGGGTTGCAAGAAGGGGGATGTGCCCCCTTCTGTTTAGGGGGTTTGAAAGGGGACGGCAGTCCCCCTAATGCCAAGAAAATTTTGGACTTGTGAGAGGCTAAAAATGACCCCAGATTGATAATAAGGTAAGGTGAACCCCAACACTGAAAAGCATTTGACCAGGGCTCGAATTTAACACTCGCAAACTCGCAAAATGCTAGTTGAAAAAAGATTTTGCGAGTTAGATTTATGACTACTCGCAATTTTTTGCGAGTTGAAGAAAAAATTGAATAAGCTCGTCAGTAAATTCCGAAATAAAATTGGGGCGTAATATTCGCAGGTAGCCGAGTTATAAACTATGCGCGCACTTGCTGTCTGGTTTACATTTTCTATACCTTAACCTCGTTAACAAATTTACACCAGTCCAAATGCTGTATGGTTTACATTTTCTATACCTTAACCTCGTACACAAATTTAAACCAGTCCAAATGTCATTTTGTCCGTGTAAATCAAGCGTGATCGGAATAAAATGTCTAAACGAAAAATAACGAACTTCTTCCCACTTACTGAAGCAAATGTGTCTTCCAATAACAATGCTCTGAGTACAGAAGACGATTCACAGTCTATCAAAAATAAGACAATCAGACCTTCAGTTAAAACGGTTAAAAATTGGGAGAAAGAACTGCATGTCAGTCTTACGTACTAACTCGATGACGATGGAAATGTTGCCAAAATATTTTGCGCCGATTGTTGTGCGCATAATCCAGAGACATCGTCGGTATGCGACAATATTGCATTATTATTTTTTTACATGTAGATTGACATTTGATAAGAACCCCTGTCCCCTAAATCAAGTTTTTGAGTAGAAAGTTACGTTGCTGATTCGTACCCCGGGCAGTTCGAACTCGTCCAAATAAATAACAATTTTTAACAATTTTGGAATTAAAAAATCATTGTCGTAAAAAGTGCTAGTTGAATTCAGTTTTTTGCTAGTTAAAATTTTGTCCACTAGCAATAAATTGTTAGTGGCCAAAAAAGTTAAATTCGAGCCCTGATTTGACTCTATCTCAATCAATTGAGAAGTTGCAGCACTTTGAAATCAATTTTGATGGAAAAAATCAACGCAAAATAGTGATTTTTGGCAATTTTGTGATGTCCCCTGGTTGCCGTGGTAATAGAAAATTTAAGCCTGAGCATGTTGTTGCAAGGGCAATGGTCCAGTCAACATTTGTGTCTAGTTTGATTAGTATTGAAGCAGTTTTTATAGTATTATCGCAATTTGAACTTGTAACAGGAGACTTTTCAATGAAAACAGCCATTTTTCACAAAATTCTTATGAAGTAATGGGTCTCAATTTACTGTTGTGTTGTTGTATTATTTAAAATTTTAATGTCCTGTCACTGCCAATATTCAAATGGAAATTTGAATTGCTTCCAATTTGATTTGCAGATTTTTTTATATTAGGGGAACGGCCAGAAAAAAAGTTAGATACGTAGAACAAACCGGCAAACTTATTTATAAGGGGATATTGTAAATCAAACACATTATATTAAAATGATTTATATATATATATACTTTATGCAACTTTATTATCAATATCTATCAGCTTGCAGTGATTTTTCTCACTTAATTTGGTAGAGGCCTTAGCCTCTTGATTTTGGGGAAAATTATTGCTAAAATTGCAAATTTGGGAAGCCAGAAAGCAGGTTTTAGTTCAGATTTTTGGGAAAACTGCATGATTTTAAAGAAAATTTCAATTTGGAAGAGGCCTTTTTTCAGAGTCTGTTATATAAGCAGGAAAATCACTGGCTTGCTGTTATTATCATCTGCTACATTTGTATCAATCAATATACAAGTTAGACTTTTTCATAGAGATTTTTGGCAACTAGAAGTATATTAACCCCTTGGATATGCCTTTACATTTCAGGTGCATGCATGGCAGGTGGCAGACCAGTTGCTGACATTACATCAGAGTCTAGAAGCTTGTTACTTTGCTGCTCAGACAATGAGAACAAAGGTATTTGAATATTACTCGATATACAGGCACATATTTTATAAGTAAAGAATCTGAAGTACTACTATTTCTTTGAGGATGAACAAAAATTGAAGATATTGCATCTTCAGGGCTCACACTGGCTCAAATAAAATAATAGCCAATAATTTCAACTTAAAAAAATAATAGCCAAAAGTTCAGCACACTATTCACGAATTAATGATTAACAACATAAGCAGTTGATTTTATACATTACATTTATATCTTTCAGTTTTATAAGGATTCTCAAATAAACTGATACATTTGTGTATATTGATAACTACATTTTTTTAAATAGAACCACAACTTTAATTGTTATTAAAGAACAGAATAAAAACGTTATTATTAGTATAATAACTGTATAACAATAATATTAAAGATTCATTTTAACTTTACATAATGCTGTTATCAGACAACTTTTTTTGTTTGTTCTAATCAAATTTTGTCAGCTATAACCATTAACACAGAATTGGAGTAGATCAAGGACATATTAGCCTATAGAAATAACACAAGTTTGCAAACTCATTCACAGAATGCAGCCTTTTTTCTGAATAATTTACTGAAAAATATCATCATCACCAATGTAATACAAATTTTCTGCCATAGTAGTAAAGATTTTTAAACAGAACATAGCTTATTTCACCTTTAAATAAATATCAAAATTATCGGTGTCGCGAAAATATGTGACAATCGGATTTTTCCTGTTTTCTGAAGAAAAATTCACAATTTTGGTTGTTGTGCAAATAGTTGTTTGGAATTTAATACTTTTTAAATATTTAACCATTGTTTTCCACTGGCGATTTAGTCAAGTAGCTTTAAATAAAAAAAAATAAAAATTTGCAATTACTGGAATTCACGGTAAATTTTGGGTAAGTCAATATTCAGTTTATCAATTTTAAAACGATTTTGTGGCTAATTGACGGATATTTGATGGCTATTATAAATGCTGGACAATATCTTTAAAGTACTTATACAATTATACATCTCACATGTATTTTATCACTTGAGGCAATATAGTTAGCAGCACGTGACCGCTCAATTCAATGCACCCCGCTGGTGTTAATTGGGTCTGCTGCATTCATTATCGATTTTTACACCTTATATAAACACTGTTGGAAGAAAAAAGTAATCGCCAGATTTTGTAGCCAAAATGCAAAAATAATCGCCAATCTTATAAAATAATCGCAAATGGCGACCGACAGCGTGAGCCCTGCATCTTATATCATTGAAAATTGAATATTTATTCAAGTTTAGGGACTGAGGGTAGCTTAAGTTCTGTTTCGGCCAAAATGTTCATTTTTAGCTCTACTGTTGAAGAATAGGTTGAGCTTTTGTATGTGTCAATCAAATGTCAACGTCATACTTTGGTTAAAACTTAAGATATAAGCTGAACAGCCTTAATCATTTAAAGGTATATTAATTTTTTTTACCTTTGACAAAATTCATATGATAATAAAGCTAGAAATAAATTGATATAGACCAAATGAAACATCACATACCTGTTCAGTTTGAAATGATTAAAGCATTAGAAGTTTACAATTTTACTTTAAGTGATTTTAAAAGTCTGTCGAAATGCTGATTTGCACTGTTTTTTATTCAGTCAGTATATATTTTGAAATTTTCCTTTTAAGTGATGAATAGTTTTGCTTATATTGAAATATACTTGTTATTTAATTGCATGAAAATTGTTAAATGTGATTGTTCCCTCCGAAAAATAACTGGTCTCTGTTTTTGAATGCCTGGACAAAATCATAGAGGCTGCTTAACTTGAATCTTTCATTACATTTTCAGATACAGTATGCTTTTCATGAACTTCCAGCAAATGTCCACCAGGTGAGCCATTTTTGTAAAAAAATATTTTAGTTTCACGTTGTAAGGTGACTTTCAAGCTTTACTGGCTGTAAAAGACCTCTAGTGGTGTGCCCTTCTGTGCATAATTTCAGCCAAGTTCTAGCATCTGCGTAGAATCACTGTTGTCCATAAGCTAGCTGGATAGCTTCCTCATCTGAAAGAATCCAAAGACCCTAGAGGATTTTTAACCCACAGCTATTAGGGGCTTATGGTTTGAAGTCGACAACCTTAACCACTCAGCCATGGATGCCCCTCTGGATACTTGATTAGGTGAGCAATATGGTAAGTATTAAACAAATAAATGATCTATAATTTCAAGCATATGTGAATTGTGTTCAATGATGCTATTTGCTGCAGTAATTTGACATTAAACTTAAGTACAGTTTTTTCATCATTTCATTTTTGATAAGCAATCTGAATATATATTTATTGATTACTTTCTTCAAAAAAACATGACAACATTGAACAACAAAATTTTATGAGTGATTTCTTTAAAACCTATAAATGCTTCTGAAACACTTAAAAGTTTTTACTAAACAATTGTTTTTACATATTTTTCAGTCTTTACGAGATTCATTGATGGAACATGCAGGCAAGGTTACCGGGGAAACAAATCACGTCATAGTTACACAGGTGCGTTTTTAATGCTTGGAAACAAAATATGTACATTGTACTATTCTCATGCTGGCTCTTAATACCCAAGACACTTAAACCTTTTAGTTTGAGATTCTGCCTTTTACATATTTTTAAGGAAATTCGACCACTTTGTCATCATTAATTGCATTACAGAATGTAAGTTATTATACTGCTTTTGCTCATTATAAAGCCGTATTTACTATCAGTCCTGTAATATTTCAGGGCCGGTAAAATCTGGTTTCCACTGTCTTACTGATCAATTTTACCTGAAGCATTTCTTTACTTGTCTATCGTAAATTCTTGACAATTTCCACTTGTCCGCAGTGTCTATTCTAGGAATTGAAAAATAGGGGTGATTTTCCCCCCTCCATTTCAAAAAAGGGGGCGATTTTCAAAATCAAGGGGTGCCAATATAAACTGCCAATGTTAAATCGTCTGCATTAAGTTTACACTGAGGCGTTCAACCGATGAAATAATTAAAACGATAATATTTATTAAGGCAGCAGAAGTTGTCCCCCCTTAATTTTTAAACGAAAACATATTATTACAGAACTGCCGCGATTGATTATAAAGGGATTGGCAATACAAATAATCGACCTATCTTTCACGTCTAGATCGTAGCCAAGCTAGGAATTGCCTCATTTTTCTTGATTATTTGCTACACTTAAATGGCGCCCAACTGTCAGACGTCGCTGTCAGACCTAGCACACTAGTTCCGGTCGATACGGAACATTCCTTTAATTTCCGTCAACTCACGTAACCAATACCATACGGTACTTAATTATTATAATTAGCTTACAGTTACCTCCCTTCGGTTTTCGGCGTAAATGTAAACAAAACAACCAAATATAATGTGGGATGGAAGTTTTACGGTTTTATTAGCTCACCTGTCACAAAGTGACAGGGTGAGCTTTTGTGATCGCTTTTCGTCCGGCGTCCGGCCGTCCGTCGTCCGTCCGTCGTCCGTCCGTCCGTAAACTTTTGCTTTAAATGACATCTCCTCATAAACCACTGAGCCAATTTCATCCAAACTTCACAGGAATGTTCCTTTGGTGGTCACCTTTAAAAATTGTTCAAAGAATTTAATTCCATGCAGAACTCTGGTTGCCATGGCAACCGAAAGAAAAATCTTTAAATATCTTCTTTGAAACAACCCTAAGAGCTAGAGCTTAGATATTTGGCATGAAACATCTTCTAGTGAGTGTCTACCAAGTTTGTTCAAATAAAAGCCCTGGGGTCAAAATTGGCCCCGCCCCAGGGGGTCATTGATTTTCCCTATATGCATATAGTAAAAACTTAAAAAATCTTCTTTTAAAGAACCCAAAGAGCTAGAGCTAAGATATTTGGCATGAAACATCTTCTAGTGAGTGTCTACCAAGTTTGTTCAAATAAAAGCCCTAGGGTCAAAATTGGCCCCGCCCCGGGGGGTCATTGATTTTCCCTATATGCATATAGTAAAAACTTAAAAAATCTTCTTTTAAAGAACCGTAAGAGCTAGAGCTTTGATATTTGGCATGAAACATCTTCTAGTGAATGTCTACCAAGTTTGTTCAAATAAAAGCCCTGGGGTCAAAATTGGCCCCGCCCCAGGGGGTCATTGATTTTCCCTATATGCATATAGTAAAAACTTAAAAAATCTTCTTTTAAAGAACCATAAGAGCTAGAGCTTAGATATTTGGCATGAAACATCTTCTAGTGAATGTCTACCAAGTTTGTTCAAATAAAAGCCCTGGGTCAAAATTGACCCCGCCCAGGGGGTCATAGATTTTCCCTATATGCATATAGTAAAAACTTAAAAAATCTTCTTTTAAAGAACCCAAAGAGCTAGAGCTAAGATATTTAGCATGAAACATCTTCTAATGAGTGTCTACCAAGTTTGTTCAAATAAAAGCCCTGGGGTCAAAATTGGCCCCGCCCCGGGGGGGTCATTGATTTTCCCTATATGCATATAGTAAAAACTTAAAAAATCTTCTTTTAAAGAACTCAAAGAGCTAGAGCTAAGATATTTAGCATGAAACATGTTCTAATGGGTGTCTACCAAGTATGTTCAAATAAAAGCCCTGGGGTCAAAACTGGCCCCGCCCGGGGGGGGGGGGTCATTGATTTTCCTTATAAGTGTATAGCAAAAACTTAAAAATCTTCTTTGAAAAAACCCAAATAGCTAGAGTTTAGATATTAAGCATGAAACATCTTTAAGTAAATATCTACAAAGTTTGTTCAAATAAAAGCCCGGGGTCAAAACTGGCCCTGCCCCAGGGGTGTCATTGTTTTTTACTATATGTGTATAGTAAAAACTTTAAAAATCTTCTTTTAAAAAACCCAATGAGCTAGAACTTAGATGTTTAGCATGAAACATCTTCTTATGGGTGTCTACCAAGTCTGTTCAAATAAACAAATATAAACCCTTGGGTAAAAATTGGCCCGGGGGGGGGGGGGGGGGCTATATACAGGTGAGCGACCTCAGGGCCATCATGGCCCTCTTGTTAACTTTTTTTATAGATGCGCGATTTTCACGCACATGATTTTGAATTGTACGCGATCTCTGAAATACTAGCGTGAATCGCGCAATCGCGCGTCCTAGAATAGACACTGTTGTCCGTACAAGGTGTGAGACAAACTGGGCAATACGGACAAATGATTTTGCTGACCTGATGTGTCCTCTGCAGGAAATTATAACTTATCCATAATTACTTAACTTTTACCCATTTCAATGGTACAAATGTTAGCAAACTTCTGAGTACCAGCCTTTTTTGCTCACCTGTCACAAAATGACATGGTGAGCTTTTGTGATCGCTTTTCGTCAGTCATCAGTCCGTAAACTTTTACTTTAAATGATATCTCCTCATAAACCACTAAGCCAATTTCATCCAAACTTCACAGGAATGTCCCTTTGGTAGTCTACTTAAAAAATTGTTCAAAGAATTTAATTTCATGATGAACTCTGGTTGCCATGGCAACCAGAAGAAAAAACTTAAAAAATCTTCTTTTAAAAAACCAAAAAAGCTAGAGCTTAAATATTTGACATGAAACATCATCTAGTCAGTGTCTACCAAGTTTTTTTAAAATAAAAGCCCTGAGGACAAAATTGATCCAACCCTGTGGGGGTCATTGATTTTCCTTATTTGTATATAGTAAAAAGTTGAAAAATCTTCTTTAAAAAAGAGCCAAAGAGCTAGAGCATAGATATTAAACATGAAACATCTTCTAGTGCGTGTCAACCAAGTTTGTTCAAATTAGAGCCCTATGGTCAAAATTGGCCCTGTTCAAGGGGGTCATTATTTTTCCCTTTATGTTATTATAACTAAAAAAAAACTTCTTTTAAAATACCCAAAGAGCTGGAGCTAAAATATTCAGCATTCAACATCTTGTAATGGTTGTCTACCAAGTTTGTTCAAGTTTGAGCCCTGGGGTTTAAATTGGCCCTGTCCCGGGAGTTTCTGATATTTCAGTGCCATGGCCCTGTTGTTTAAGTTATTTTTGAAGCTAATATTTAGAAAGAGCAATGATTTACAGTTGTCATGGTCATATTTCCTTGATGTAACTACAGGATCTGTCCAAATTAGTCATGATGATAACAATCCAGACCTCAGCAACTGTGCCTCCCCTGATACAAACAAAGTTACAGTTTTAACTTCATAGTGCAATTCTGTTTACGATAGATTAATCAAATAGTTGCTTTTATTTTTAAAGCTGTAACTGCAAAATTTTGTTTTTACCCCCTATAAGCTGGGAAAACACAATTTTTTTTTTTTATCCGGAGAAAGTCTATTGAGTGAAGCTCTAAGTTTCTTTTTTTTTCTGTAAAAATTCATACATTTCATTTCCCGTTTTCTTTTATCTATTTCAGTTGAGCTTGGCCTTGGCTGACCTCGCCTTACAAATGATAACCTGGGAGCATCCTGTACAAGATCTAGTTCAAAAGTAAGTAGTGCATATTGGTCATAGGTTTTGATAAGCATGTGAACATTGCAATGTGTTAATACAAAGATAAGCCCATGACTGTGAAAAATGTCTGTAGTCATGACTGTTAAGGTTAATTTAGTTTATCAGTTTTAAGGTTACATGTATATACTGACAAGTATTGACAAATTCTTTATTATGAACATTGTTTTAGTGTTCTCATAAATACCATTTTGACTATAAAAATGTCTTTAGTCATGAGTCTAAGAGTGGCAGTAATATTTTAATTTTACTAATTTACAGTTTTAGCTTAATGAACTTACAATTTCAACATCATAAATTCACAATTTTTTCACAGTTTTAGCTTGATGAATTTACAATTTCAACTTCATAAATTCCAATTAATCTTTTTACAATTTAATAAAGATTTATGACTTAAAACTTTAAACTTCATGAAAGTCATGAATTCAGCTTCATGAATTTATGGATTTTAATTTGTGAAGTTTTAATTCATAAATTTGTGAAGTCTGCCATGAGTTCATAAAGATAAAATTGTGCATTCATAAAGTTGAAATTCTGAATTCATTAAGTTAAATTCATGAATTTAAAATATCAGTATAACTCTTCAAAGAAGTAATATGCAGTTCATTGTCTAGTGCAGAAATCATTAAAAATGACCAAATATTATTTTAATTTCTATTGAGGAAAAAACAAACTATTTATATTTCAGGTTTGGATCAAATCCTGCACAGCTTCCATTTTTACTAGAAGTCCTTATAGTCTTGCCAGAGGAGGTAAATAATTCTATGTCTGTGATTCTAGGTAGTAAAGAAATCTTAGTGGTTAACCCTTTAAACTGTTTGAACCAAAAATTATTATCGTGTGCCACCAGTATACAGCCAGACTAGCATTGATATTCATGGCTGAGCCATATCAAATTTTCATCTTGATATCCCCAAAATTGATAATGGATGGATCCAAAAGTTTAAGCTGGACAAGTCCATTTTAGAATTTCAGCGGATTAGAGGACGAGATTAACATTCTGAAACTGCCTCACTGATTTTAGTGTAATAGTATCTTGTAAATACTGGACTATAAGAGGTAATATTGTGAAGTCTGTCATAATTATTTTCAGTCCAAATATTTGTTTATATGATTTCTAGGTCAATTTTAATATGACTATCAGAGATCAAAAACTAGTTCATTGACTTAGATATATTATATAAAGCTAAGGTTTATATTAGAACATGTTTTGAAGTCAGTTATCATGATTATAATGTATTTATGTCACAATATTTGGTTCCCTAGATTCCTTCATTGACCTTGAATGGTGATAATGAGGTGAATGAACAATAGTGGGCCTTAAAGAGCTCTTGTTTCAATGTCCTAGACAGCCAGCCTGACTCAAGACTGCTAAACCCAGGGTTGTCATTAACATTTTTTGCAGAAGGTTTGTTTCGAACTTGAGGCGGTCATTTCTGTCTTTATCATGCATAACAAAGAGTGTTTTCTTAATTTTGAGGCGGCCCATAATGCATTTGAGACAGGCAATTTGGCCTCCTGTCGCCTCTTAATGACAACCCTGTTAAAACCTGTATCCAACTGAAGCCAAATTTGTTTAGCCTTTGATACCAGTATAGAGCCAGGCCAGTCTACACATATGTACAGTCTGAACAGGCTCTATACTGTTTGTAGCTAGATTTTTGCATTTTGATCCTGAAATTTCTGAATTATAAATTTTACTTGTTTCAAATTTAATAACATAAATTCAGCAGGTACAGGGTGAATCAAAGTTAGCTAGATTATCAGAAATCGTTACATGATCTTGTAAGGAAGCTATTCCTACTAGCACAGAGATTGTCCCCATGATTGTTTTCTGATAAAGATGGTTCTTAAAGGTACACTTAGAGACAAGTGATGGAATGTCCCGCTTTGACTTTTGAAGCTAAGGTCACTGGCACATACTGTGAATACCTCTTTTATTGCTAAGTTCATGGTCACTTTGACATATACTGTGAAAATACCTTTTACATTCTTTAGTTCAAGGTGACTGACATTTGCTGTAATTTTACCTCTTCCAGTCATTAGGTCAGAGGTCAAGGTCATGAGCATATACTATGAATATCTCTCACATTCTTTAAGTCAGAGATCAAGGTAGGTCACTTTGGTGTATACTTTAATAGCGCTTCCATTCATTATGCCAAGGTCACTTTTGCATATATTATGAATACTTCTTCTAATTATTAGGTCAGAGGTCAATCATTCTGTGATTACTTCTTTCATTTATTAGGTCAGAGGTCAAGGTCACTGGTATATACTGTGACTACCTCTTCCATTCATAAGATGCAGCAAGGGAGACAGATACAAGTGTACAGAAAATCATACACGTATATATAGTTTATTTCTCGTTACAGATTAATAGCCGGTCACTACGACTAGGTGCAAACAGGAGACAGGAAGTGATCGATGAACTCAAATCCTCGTCACAGGGCGTACTACATCTTTTGGTGAGAAAAATACTACACATTTTTCTGAAACCTATGTTTTGATTTAAACATGTTTTATTTGACAAAGCTATGATTGTTTTCTCTTTAGTTTCACATTGCTTTTGCCATTATAGTTAATGTTGACATAGTCAATTATATTCTGAAGAAGACTAAATGTTGGAAGCTAAGAAAAGCATATGTTTTCATTGAACAGATTGAATATATTGATAATAAACTATATATGCCAGTCTTCAGAAAGTTTTTGTATATACCCTCTACTTTGTTTTAAATTTTAAATTTTTTTTTCCAACTTTTCTTCATGTGAAGGTCAGGTTTTGACTTTCTCAGTGTTTACATTTTTATGCAAATTCACTGAATAGCTATTGATGATAATAATTGGTTGACCAGATTTACACTAAAGAAGAAATGATTGTGTTTGTGATAATTTTATGCTCCCCGAAAAATTTCTGGGGAGCATATAGTCGCCGCCTTGTCCGTCCGTCTTTCCGTCCGTCCGTCCCCTTTTCTTGTCCGGCAACAAGAGGTATCAACATGAAACTTTGTAGGTAGATAGATCTCATTAAGTAGGTGTGCAGTGCACAAGAACCGTAACTCTGCCTTGCCTAATTTTTGAATTATTTCCCTTTGTTTATTTTTACACTTTGAACTTTGTCCGGGACATAACTCTAAAAGTATAAGAGGTATCAACATGAAACTTTGATTAGGTAGATACTAGTAGATCTCATTGAGTTAGGTGTGCAGTGCACAAGAACCGTAACTCTGCCCTTGCCTAATATTTGAATTATCCCCCTTTTTGTTTATTTTACACTTTGAACTTTGTCCGGGACATAACTCTAAAACTATAAGAGGTATCAACATGAAACTTTGTAGGTAGATAGAATTCATTTAAGTAGGTGTG